ATTGTACCCCGACGACATCAAACTAGTGTAGGCTTAAGTACAGTAGGACGTACTAGGCCAGGCTTTTGTTGTAAAAGTTGAAGTGCATGTACTAGGATGCGCCTATATTTAAAAAAAATACATTTTGTTAATTATTACTATTGGTTGGCCTGGGACCTAGGCAGGCAGGCCAGCATTGCCGTCGAAAGTCCTGGGATTCGACGATGACGTCAGTACACATCAGTTTACAAACGCCATTGATTGGAATGAAAATAGACGCGCTGAATTTCGTTTGTTCTATGAAAGATAGTATTTATCGAACATTTATCAATATAAAAACAAGATTAATATTGTTGAAATTGTATTTCTAAAGATTCATATATAATTCATATTTCAATTTGTAGACAATAACTATTCAATAATATACTAAAAACGATTAATAATTCTGAAATGTGCATCAAATCTCAGCTATTATTAATCAGTATGTTTTAGGTTAAAGTCTTAAAATAATAATTTCGAATTAGGCCTAGTAAACAAATAATGGTAATTAAAGTTTAGGTTCCCATGATGTCAGATGACGTATTCAATATGATGCTATATTTTGGGCTCTGGCTTAATTTAACGATGGCCCTGTCAGTTGTAGTAATGACAATATTTGTGTTTTTTTAGCCATGTAGTAAAAATAGTACTATTATTTTCAGTGTACAAGATGAGAGTCAGGAAGAAGCTCAGCTCCCACTTTATTTTGTAACAGGCAGCTCTATTTGTTTATATAGGCCTACTGGAAGATTCATTATTAAAACAAGACAACACTTCTTAAATGTTTTATATATTATAAAGAAGCACAGTACATAATTCTTTGTAAATTACTTTATAGGCCTAAATAATAGCTTGTTTTGTTTTATAATAATAAATGTGTTGAGTATATTGATATTGATTATGCGATGAGGGTTTTTTTTTGTCTTTCGGTGTGATTTAAACATGCTAATTCTCAAAAAATATTTTCAAATTTTATTATATTACCACTTTGTATTACATAGATATTTTTCAAAACATAACTGCTTTTATAACATTATATAGACCTATTAAACACAAAAACTGCTTTGGCTTCGGG